TAATGTGCTCTCACTAAATAATGATTTTGGCTAGACTGATGCAATGATAGAGAAGTATGTGTGCATAAACTGATATTGTGTGTGTAATAAATACCTGTAAATATATGTAGTATGTATACATATCCATAGACATACAGATATGTATATGTGTATAATATCTATTTTTAATAAAATATTCACTCACGTTTATTAACTCATGCATTGTAAAAGTTCCTAATGAAAGATACCATGATTTAAATGTTTGCTTCTCCCCAAAATTTGTGCATAAAAATCTAATCACCAAGGTGATGACATTAGACTGAAAAAATATCCCCCCAAAATGAGAATAATATATGAGTAATACTAGATACCATTAAATGTGCAAATATCCAGGTAGTCAGAATCGCAGAAGGTGAAGAAACTAATAAGGGCATTGATAATCTATTCCAGGAAATTCTGGGAGAAAACTTTCCAAACCTAGAGAGGCACTCAAATATCAAGATCCAAGAAATACAAAGGACCCCAAAGAGAATCAACCCAAGAAGATCTTCTCCAAGGCCCATCATAGCCAGATTGACCAAAACCACAGACAGAGACAAGATACTGAGATTGGCAAGAGAGAAATGTCAGGCTACTTACAAGGGCTGTCCCATCAGGCTAACAGCGGACCTCTCATCAGAAACCATACAGGCAAGGAAAGAATGGGAAAATATATTTAAAGTATTAAATGAAAACTAATTTCAACCAAGAATGCTATAACTGGCAAGATCATCCTTCATATGAGAAGAAAAGAGAAAAGCATTTTCGGATAAACAAAACCTAAAATATCTACCAACGCCAGTCCAGCTTTCCAAAATGTCTGAATGGAGCGCTGTACCAGGAAAACTAAAGACAGACTCACAGAAATAAGAGTCCAAAAAACAACCATGAAAATGGTCAACTTCACGGTAGGGACAAGTCCAGAGTTGAATGCTAAATTCCAGAATTTAAACGGAAAAATTGGACCACAAGAGAGGTGAGTTTAATTACATGAGGCTGAACGAGTGAAGCAAAATTTTATGACTTTTGACTAAAACATTACTGATTTTCTTCTATGCTTTGTTTTTCAGGTTTCAGGATTTTTGTCTTCTCTTGAGCTGTTAATAGGTTCATCTACCTACTATTTGAATAGAATCCTAACCATTTTCCTGGCTTTAAGTTTTAAGTAAAGTTCTCTTAGCATTTTTTGATTTTGATTTATTAAAACTAAAACGCTTTTCTTAAAATTAAAAAAAAGGTATTTAAAAAAACCCTATTTAATGATTGTGGTAAGCTAGATAGCTACAACAAGGTGCTACTTTATAGTATGTTCATTTTACTCACTGAGATTTATGCCTAAGTCAGACACATGTTCACAGATATGTATATATCAGCTGAACTTGATATTGAAAATATTTAGATTAATTATGATATTTTGTGAATCAATAAACTGTGGGGGAAAATGTCATGGAAATCAACTATAGATACCAAAGGCAGTGCGGGAGGAGTGTGGGAAATGGCAGAGGGTGAGAAGTAGGGAATCAAGGGGGAATAAAAGCAAAACTATGTAAGAAACAGGAAATGGAGGGTGACTTGTTCATGATAACATGTATGGTAATACCCTCGATTAAGCCAATATGCAGTGTATTCTGCATGGGAAATCACATTTTGTATTCTGTGATGATGTTCAGTGGATGAACATAAAATAAATAAATAAAAGAAAGTGGGTCCTTTGGGTGATTAGATCACAATGACATCACTCTCATGAGGGGATTGGCGCCCTTACTGGAAAGGAAACCCCAGCGAGCTCCCTTGTCCTTCCTACTGTCTGAGGAACACAGCAAGAAGACAGCCCACCAGTCAGGGAGGAGGCCCTCGCCAGACTCCGAATCTGCCAACACCTTGTTCTTGGACTTCCCAGCCTCTGACACTGTGAGAAATAAGTTTCTGTTGTTCCGAGTTACCTGGTCTGAGGTATTCTGTTATAGCAGCTTGAGCAAACTAAGACAGGTGGTAAAGAATTAGTCATAGTTACACAGGATGTTTGGAATTCCAGGTTATAGAATTGTAAGAAATTCCAGGTTACTGATCCATGAAACATCATTTCACAACCCTGGCCACAGATTTAAGTTCAGTTGAGCATGGAAAAATAAAAAGACCAATGTCCAGGTATTCTTTGGCCTAGGAAAGGACATCTAGATTATACTTGGTTTAGAACTTCTCTGATGATTCTAATGTTTGATCAGGTGTAAAACCAACTACCTCCAATTAACCAGATTAATGATTTTCACAGAGAAGGTGGTGCTCCTACATAAGGCTTAACAGAACAAAGATCACTGTGTGCACCTGTATGTGTGTGAGAATGGGGATGGGGGGGTAGCTGTGTGTGCACTCGCACCAAGTCTCCTATGTGGCTGTCTGAGTCGTACCTTGGTGACTATTGTAAGGACACCCCTCGAGTGTGCCAGGAATGGAATAGCACTGAGAACTACTGTTCTGGTCCAGTGCTTCTCAAATTCTCATATGTCTCAGAAGCCACTGAGGATGCTGTACAGTGCAGGTTCTGATTCAACATGTCTGGGCTGGGTTGTGGCACCCAGGATTAGGCATTTCTTTTTTTTTTTTTTTTGCTATAGGGTGCGTGCGCTCACCAGACAGACAGAGAGGGACAGAGAGACGGATAGCTAGAAATCACCCCCCAGGGGAGATGGCCATGCCACAATCTCTTCTCTTCCATTCTCCTCTCAGGATCTTGGGCATGCACACACACGCGCCCGGCGTGAGTTTTAAGCCACTGGGTTTGGAATGTGAATTGCGATAGACTACGTGGGAGTCCAGCGACATAGCCATTACGCTGACTGCTGGTCCCCCAAGGATTAGGCATTCTAATGAGCTCCCAAGGGAGGCAGATGTTGCAGCTTGAAGCTGGATGAGCAGAAGGTCATAGATCAGGAGATGCTGGACCAAACACTATAGAGACTGAAAATTTCTGACCGTCCCGAGAGCCATGATGTCTTTTTCTATGTTTTCCTATGCAAAAATGCATCATGACTTTCCCAACGACCCAGTAGAATCTGGAGCCCACTACAGAAGCCTGCTTTTCATCTGTGGGTACCTGCTGGCTACACATTACTTGGTAATGTGTATAGGTATTGGAGGGAGGTTCTAATTTTAATATTTACTTTTCATTTTGGGACGGGCCTGTAGCAATCTCACATAAGTTGATGCAGCTGATCTGAAGTTGCATTAAGAGGAAGGAATGAAGAAGAATTTAAAGTTGGCTTGGGTGGGGGAAGGAAAAGAATACTTCGAGCTTTGGGAAAGAAGAAGAAGAAAAGGTTCCCAATGATCCAGCGAGGTATATTCCCAGTGTTGGGGTAGAAGGTAGTCAAATGTCTAGGCCCCACGTGGGCTCATCCTAAGAGGAGAAAACTAGTACCTGTGACGTGCGATAGTCTGACCTGTTCTCTGGTCCATGTATTGGCAGCTTCGTATCTGAGGTGATGTTAAAGCTGACATCATGAAGCTACCCTTTAGAAAGCCTGATGATAAGCTACCTTGAACAAGAGGCCAACCTTCGGACTATAAAACAAAGCTAGTTAGAGCTGTCATGGAGGGGAGAGACCTTTGTGTTTATGAATAAGACCATTAGCATGGGGTGGGATCTCTGAAAGGTATGGAATCAGGGATTGAAGGATATGGATACTCAAACACAAAGCCAGATGGAAGTTCATCACAAATATTGCTGAATTGTTAAAGGCCCCCTGGACTTCCCCCAAAAGGGGGAGTGGACTAAGAAGCTTGCTCTGGGGGATGGAATGATGGCCTTATAAGGATGTACAGATTGAAGGAGAAGATTCACCTGGCACAGAGATGCTTGATGAGTTTGATTTGGGGTCAAATGAGGAACCTGTTTGTGAACTGCATAGCAGCAAGTCCTTCTGCACGTTCACAGCAAGAGGGAGAGCACACGCTCCCCTGCCCCATGGCCAGGTCACCCACGCTGTGGGTATCTGTGGGCAGCTGTGATGTGGGGGCAGGGATGGCACTAACTGCTGCCTCAGGTCTCTCTGGATCCCAGCTCTGCACCCAGCACCCACCTGTGAGATACAGCCATTGCCTGGTTACCTTGCACTGTCCCCAAGGTCCTCTCTAGGATTAGGGATCCTCCTTCCCCTGACCCAGGCATTCTTCCTCCCTGAGGTCAGATACTGCTGTTCAAAGGGTGAAGTAACTTCTCAGATATCCAGAGAGTCAGATAACTTCCCCAATTTACAGCTGTAGAGTGACAGGCAAGGGATTTAAACTTGCCATTGTACTCTGACATTCATGTTCTTTCTAGTACGATCACTCTGCTTCTCATTTCTCACTACAGGAAAGTGACGATGCTACCTTTCCAACTGGTGAAATTAATAAAGCAAGTAAATAGATAAGCAGGTTGATTTTAAAATGAATGCACCACATCTTCTCAATTTAAAAGCCTTTCGTTGCTTTATAAATATTTCTTACATCTTTGACACTTGCTATCTTTTTTACTATACTCATCGACATCCCCTACTGGGTGGATTTCGGAATCAGGTATATGCTTGGTTATTCTCCACTCACCACATCGCTCACTCTGAGTGTCCACAAAGAGAAAGTTGGGTTCTAGGTTCTCTCCTGCATGAGCCACTGTCCTTTCCTTGCACTTTCAAGCACAGGGTGCGAAGCGACTGATGGTATCACTGGATGCTCTTCTGGCATCCCAGTGCTGAGATACGACATCCAGGCCCTGCCCCAACCACACGCCCATGCTGGAAGGGAACAAGTGACCTGTCCACAAAATATGCCGTCACTGTAAAAGTGGTTCTCTGGACACCGACGCACATCCTCGGCCCCGTCTCTAGAGAGATCCCCCCCTCACTGGGCACCTTGGCATCATTTCTTAGTTCCTCTCCCAAGATCTGACGCCTGTCCCAACTAAGAGATGGGACTTGGATGCACGGTGATGTCACATTACTTACTGCCTGTTCATAGTTCTTGGCACCCGGCAAATGAGAGGGATCTTCAATTCAGCCTGTGGAAACAAAAGCAAACTGGTTACTGGACCTTACCCATCATGGTTTAATTCCAGTGAACACGCCACTGTCGCTTCTTGTTAAAGTCGGATACAGGTGCTAGTTTAGAGGAAATGATGGAGAGAGAATCAATCAGGTTGATAATTGGTTTATTTCTAGAACCGGGTGGGGAGGGGATATTTTTTTCCTTGACATGCTGTCCTCTTTCTGTCAGCATTCATCCCATCTGCCCCCAGGAGCTGAGCCAACATACACTGCGCCTGGTTTTCCCTGGCTCGCAGTTGTGAGCGTCCCCTGGGCACCCAGGGCACGTTAGTCCAGGTTCCACAGGCACCGCTCTGGGGACTCCACGGGCTCTCCAGAGGATGTGGGAGAAGGAACGCTTCCCATGTCCAAGTGTGACTTTACTGTGAAATATTTACTGGAAGTTACATTTCTTTACCACTTCACATAGAAGGCTGCATTTTATTTGAACTTGGTATTCACCCACATAGGAGAGACCATTAGCCACATTTACTATATACATTAGCAGCTGAGACCCTGGGAGTATTCAATAAGACCTTTATATCAATGATTGCCTTTAATCTACTCAAGAATCCTGGCAGGCATGAAGAACGTTTCTCGCTGTTTCAGCTGGGGTTTCAGTAATACGCAGATGGTAGTCACACACTGGGCAATTTGGGAACAGTTTAATGGAGATCTTGTAAACGGTGTGGGCTGGGGGGAGGGACTTGAGAGTGTGGTGAAATATCTGCTGGTGGTAACAAAGGGACACTGGCTCCATGCCTGGGCCCGGAGGGTCAGGGCGAAGTGGGCATTGGGGTCTAGAGACAGGGTGGTGGAAGAGGGTGGTGGCTTTCATCTGAGAGACCCTAGGGAGGGCGCCGTGTGGAACCATCTCCATCTCACGCTCCTGCTGCCCTGCGTCTCCAACTGCTGACTCCCATTGACCAAACTCAACAGGGAGCCAGGGTGAGGGCCCATCAATACCACTGATGTGGGTTATGCCTGTCAGACTCTTAGGTCTCCCAGCTAGTGTAGCAGGGTAGAGAGTGGGCTTCAGAGTTAGAGAATGAGGTCCAAGGAAGTAAAATTATGTGCCCAAGACCACCCATTTGCAATAAGAGCCCAGAGCCAAAGGACTAAGAAATTTTGCTTCCTAACCTGTCAGCATACTGTACCCCATGGGGCCTTAGACACTTCTGGCTCATTCTGCCATCTGTTCATCCATCAATCTAGCCATTCCTCTCTCCACCCACCAATTACTGGAAACTTACTTTGTGCAAATATTGTTCCTAATGAGACACAGACTCTGACTGCAAGGTGCTCCTAAAATTAAATATAATTCCAATTTCTGCATCCCTTTATAATGGCTGTTATCAAAATGCTTTGTAAAAACAGATACTTTTGGGGGCCAGCAGGTGGCATGGTGGGTAAAGGTGCTGGACTCCCACATGGCTGACCCTGGTTCAAGTCCTGGACCTGGCGGCTTGCTTTTTCACTATCTCTCTCTCATTCTCACCGCCACTCATTCTCTGGCTCCTTCCCTTTCTGGT